ACCAAATTGTCCCCTACTCCCACTGCCAAGGGTATATATCATACTGTTGTGACATGAGAGCTTTAGAGCCATTTGCTGATGCTTCTGCAGATCCAGAGCTTATGAAATGAAGCCACATCCAATTTTTCTCAGAAACGTCCAAAGATAAGACTCCAGTCACCCAGTGCTACTTATAAAGTTTATATGAGGACTGATTTTAGTGTTATTTTTTTTAATGTGACTTCTGAGATTAACCAGACCGATTCTAAACAGTGGGACCTATTTTGCCAGTTTTACAGCTACCATCTGTGAGAAAGCACAATAGAATGGAAAGGGGGTCTCCCGGCTGTGACAGAGTCGGGGCCACATGCTGAGACCATAGATAGTCACATAATGGAGTGAGAGTTAAATTATAGCCCCAATGTGGGGGCCAGGCAGAGGCCTGGCTAAGGGAGCTCCTGAGAATCCAGGCTCTAGGCCACAGTCAACAGTCATAGTGGATGTCAGCTTACACACATCCACGTAGGAAAACCTCTCACCAAAGGGCAGTAGGACTAATCAAAGCGAGGCTAGCTACAATCATAGTCCTACTTACAAATTTTACTAATTTGCTGTTGGGCCCCAGCCCTATTAGCTGAGCTCACCTAACCATCACAGGTAGGGGAGCCCCATCTGAGTCCAGGGGACCAGTCCTGACATCCAGCAGACCGATCCAGGAGCCATTAGTCTGAATCTGGCTTATATGTTCGCTGTATGGCTTGTTCTCCTGAGCCCAAGTCTTTATTCTTGTAACAGACTATGCTGGATCAGTGGTCGGCAAACTGCGGCCCCTTGAGTGTGGCTCTTCCCCAAAATACCACGTGCGGGTGTGCAGGTACAGTGCAATTGAAACTTCGTGGCCACACTCAAGGGGTCAAAGAGCCGCATGTGGCTCGCGAGCCGCAGTTTGCCGACCACTGTGCTGGATCATTCTCCATTTGCCCCTTCGAGATCCATTTTGTGCCCTTCCTTTTTTTCACTGAGCTCTCCGCACTGAGGCCAACCTCTGTGGATGGCATCATTTCCTGAGCTTCCTTGTTCTCTGGATTTGGGGTGGGTCCAGCCAATGCGAAGTAGCAAGAGATCAGGGTGTTGATTCCACTTCCCCTTCCTCTCCCTTCCTGCCTGGTCATGGTTTGGCAGTGGCTACACTCCTCTACCTTCTGACATGCTCTAACTTCTGCACAGGGCTCCAATAATACTACCCACCCACCTCTGCTTCTTCAGACCTAGGAATGGTAAAGCCTTCCCACTCTTGCTAGTCCCTGAGTGCTCCAGTGCCCTCACTGGTTCTCCTGAACCCTACCCACTCCTCTGTCAAGAGTCCCTTCATTAAATCCATATCCCTGATTCCTTTGAGTGTACTATGTGTGTATTTCCTGATGAAACCTCACTGGTATAGTGACTTAGCCTATTCTGTCCCCTGAGCAGGACTGAAGGCTCAGTTCAAGCCTGCTGACTAGCCTCTGATTGCTGAATAACGCTAACTTCAGGATTCCAGACCACTGTACTCCGTTTTGGAGAGACCCCTGCTGAAATTCCTCGATGCCCTGCCCTTCCAATCCCATGTCCTACTCAGCCTCTGGTTGGCTGACACCTGTGGTCCTGTTCCTCTTTTTTGGCTCCTCCCTGTTCAACTCATTAACTTCAGTTAAACAGGCTACACTGGGAAGGTGTCTCAAATCCCCACCCCTACCACACATTTCATCCATTAATGCTGATGCGAACATATTTGGTGTTGAATCTGTACCTAGTCCTGCTTAGCTTTCATTAGTTGAGAAGTCCCGTTTCATTTCTCAGTAAGATCCAGAATTCAGGAATGAGATCCTCTTGAGGATAACATTCAGTTCAGGAGTAAAGACATCCAGGTTCTAAGTGGTGGCAGGTGCCAATAACTTCTAGAGAACTTATTCATGGCATCTCTGGAGCTTCAGGCACAGCCAGCCTGACCAACTCATAAACTGAAGGAAGCATACAGATGCCCAACCCCTGGCCTCCACAGAGTAGCTAAGCCTGCTATTCCTTGTTCTTAACAAAACTTGAATATTGTCACATCACACTCAGGGCTGGGTGCTTCACAGCCTGGTGGACCTTGTCCTAAAGTCCCACATGGGACTTTTTCGCTATGGCAGGTCCCCAAATGTTGGTGATCCCCAAAGATCTAAGTGACAGGTTTTCTCTGCCCAACTGGGCTCCACCAACCTACACATCTGGTCCAACTCCTCCATGGCCCCTTCTAGCATAACCACTCCCCTGTCAGTTCCCTGCCACAGTGTAAGATTCGAAGTGGATGAATAAATTATTCTATATCCACACTACACTTATTAAAGAATGGCTGAGGTCTATACATATTAAACTAGAAAAATTTCCCATGATTTACTATTCAGTGAGAAAAACACACTGAAGATAAATGCATGCAGCATGACTATATTTTTGTACGACAGATGATGAAATCCCCAACACACAGGTAAACATTTGGGTGGTGGATTGGGTGAAAAGAAAAAAGGAGAGAAGTAGAAAGTAAGGAAAAGAACAACAAAGACAGTTGCTAACTAGCAAAAATAAGTACGTGTCTCACTCAGGATCCCATGGGAAACAGAGCACATGCAAACTGTGGAAGTTGAGAAGAGTTTAATCAAATAAATATCTACAAAGTTGTTGGAAGTGTTTAGGGAAACCAACGGGGGATCGTCCATTCCCTCGGGGATTGTAGCAGTGGGGTGCCATTACCACCACCCGGGGCTAAAGGGCCATGTGAGGGTGCTTATCAGAACCTGGAGTGGACGGCTGTAAGGAGAGAGCCTCCGGATAGGTGCTGTGGACCTTGGTTCGAGGAGGCAGTCCATGTCTTGTGACTGGCAGGGAGGGAGATGACTTCTCTCTCCACCCACCCTCCACTCTCCTGTCGTTGCATTCCATTGGCCAACCCAATTGGAGGCCAGAGGGCTCAAGCCCCACTGATGCAGCTGGCAAAGGTCAGCTGCCTGGGATTCAGAGCAAAGGTAGAGAGGGCTGGAGAAAAGTCTTCATGGGGCAAATGGATGATATTCAACACATAATGGCATAACGTTAAATGAAAAGGTGGAATATAAACTCTATAATTTGTATGTAAAAATTAAATATTTACATGGATAAGAATGAAAAGGTTATTAAATGACAGTATCATTTTCTGTGATGATATCTTGGATTTTAGTTCATTAAATCCTGTATCTTCAATTATATTTATCAGATTTTTTTTCTTTTTTATTCTCTGCAGTAAAACAGATCTGAGTTAAACTTCTGACTCTACCAAACCCTTGCTAGTTCTCTAACTTCCTCATCTCTAAAAGGGGAATGGTAAAAGTATCTACCTCATAGGATTGCTATGAGTATTAAATGAGCTAATAGATTTGGAGGTCTTAGAACAGCGCTTAGCCCATAGTAAATGTTCTGTTTGCTGTTATTATGGTGATGATGGTAGTCCTGAGCCTCCTAATGGATCTCCATGCTCCATCTCTAATCTACCCACCATCCAGCCAGACCAAGCTCCCTTTAAAGGGTACACCTAATGACGTAACTTTCTTCCTTAGAATTTGTCCATGGTCTCCATATATTGCAGGACAATATTCAAAACTTATACTTGCGGTTATCTCCAGCCTTCTCCTTCTCCACTCTTCCCTCTGTGCTTTCATTCCAGCCACACTGTTTCCTCCTGGTTCTGCGCAAGCACCATGCTGTCCCATGTCCCAGAGTCTCTTTTGGAAATGCCCTTCCCATACCGTGCCACTTTCCTACCTTGCTAACTTTTAGGATTCATCAATGAAACTTCAAGCATCACCTCCATTGAGAAGACTTCTTGTCCCTCCCCAATCCCAGTCTGACTTATAAGCAGCTTCCTCCTCATCCCATTACATCCCATGCAGGCTGTATCGTGCCATCCTCCAAATCATGAGTATATTGGTTGACTCCCATATCAATAGTGGGCCCCTGACCTTTTTCTCTGGACCCCAGCACAGAACATAGAACCTCCAGAGAGTCTACACTTAATCATGATGTGTCTGAGAATAAAATTTATTTATAAATGAATTAGTTAAGGAAGTTACTGATCCAGAATTCAACCCTCGTTCTGTTTTATTCCAAAGGCCATCACTGTCTCCCAATCATCTGGAAGTTCTAAAGCTGCCTGACACTCCAGAATAGCTACATGCCTGAGGAAACTCCCCAGGGGCACCAGTCCAGGCCAGGCCAGAATGAGCTGGTCAGCAGAGATCCGGAGGAATAAATGCCTCTTTTCTGGGAGTATCAAACACATGACATTTGCTTTATCAAGGGATTTTCCCAAGAAAATCAATTTCTGGAGCATGTTAAAATATAAACAACCCACCACCCATCCACCCACTCCTTAAAGACAATTGGTCCAAAGAGATCCTAGAGAATTTAGACAATTCCACAATGTTGAGAGCACCATCTGATCACATGAACTTTGTTTTCCCTAACCAAGCATTTTTCTACTAAATTTTCATTTTAAATTTGGCTCCACTGTGAAATGTGCATCCACATACTGTATTGTTTGACCCAAGGCAAACCTGTGTGTACAGCCACAGATACGCTGGGGATTCCTGACATATTCACCATTTGAGATTTGTACTTGTGGCTCATGATGATGTTACCAGAATCCCTTGATAACAGTGTTTATATCTATTTATAACTATAACCTATTATCCTATCTTCCATGTAATTGGATGTGACTAAGGTTAAAAAAATTCAGCTGCATAAGAAAAGTCATCCTCTTATAGAACAGATGTTCGCTCAGCATGGAAAGTGAATTATCCTTTAACACAAATACCCAGAAATACATAAGCACTCTTTCCAAAAGCATTGATGTTAATATTTTATATAGAAAAATGACTTTAAGATAAAGTATATTATTAAGAATGAAAGGGGGGAAATGAAAGGGAGATACCACAGCTGGTTTTTAAAACAGGTGTTAATTTTACCTCTTTCAAGGGTGATTCTTGGATTAATTCGGGCACCGGATTTATTCTCCAGTTCAGGGCATTGAAAAATGTCTTATAATCGACTTGTTCTTCACTGTCTTCAAACCTGAAAATATAATTATAGTATATAATTTGATCCAAACTGCAGAATTCAGGACTAAAATGTCAGTTCAAATGCTACCTTGAAAACATAATGTCAGGGATGTTTCAATATCTGATATTTTCTTATTTATTATTAGATGGAGTTAATACTCAGAAAGATTCAAAGGAGAGAACATGGGTCGAGTTCCCTGCATGGTGCCCAACACATGCCCAAGCCTATGAGCTGTGGTGAGTCCTGTCATCACAGCGGTTGCTATTTAAAGCATCTAACACTGGTCTTGCACAGCAGGTGCTCAATAAATGCCCTCTTTGAAATTAAATAAACCTGGGCTCAAATTCTGGCCCTGGGGCCTTGAACACATCACTTTCTCCGCCTGAGCCTTGGTTTGCCCATCTGAAAAATGGGCTCGCATGGGCAATGGGCAGGCACGACACCCAGCAGAGCCGAAGACTGAGTGGCCAGGATGGTATGTGCTGGGTGGAGTGTTCTTACCTCGATGGGGTGTCCATGTCCTTGCTCCCTGGCAAGTAAGCTGGTCAACCTGCCCTTCAGATTGTGACACCCCTCCCCCACCATGACCTCACCCCCAGAGTGGCCAGTGGAACCCTGAGGGGTTTGTGAGGTCACCCCATTCCGCTCCACAAATACTCATCGGGCAGCAGCCACTGGCTGGTTTCTGTCCCTGGGAAGCTTCTGGGACCCTGAGACTCAGGAGCTGTGGTCAGAAAGACACTCCTGAGAGGGACACGGAGCATTGGGAAGCAAGGACACTCCAAGTGCTGAGCCTGAGAGGCCAGAACCAGGTGGGACAGTCTTGTGGGTGTGCGGAGTTTCATTCAGCAGTTCCAGGAGGCCCAGTGTCACCAGGCCACCATGGTCCGTGGCTGGCTATTGCTCCTGGTGGTGGCTCTGCCCCAACTCGCGACAGGCGCCAAGGAGTGCGTCTTCTGTGATCTGACCGACTCCTCGGACTGCGCTGGCATCCCCATGACCTGTGGCGACGACGAGGAGTGCTTCATTGGCGAAGGAACAGCCCCCGGCCTCAGCAACGTCATCAACAAAGGCTGCATGGAAACCACCTCATGCGGCAATGAGGAGGCTGTCACCTACCAGGGCGCCACCTACAGCCTCATCTCCACCTGCTGCGATGGTGAACTGTGTAACAGGGCCCCCATCCCCGCAGGCAGCCTGAAGGCGGGGGCCACCACCGGCCTGGCACTGGGCGTGCAGCTGCTGCTTCACTGACTGTGACCAGCATGGAGGGCAGGGCCTGGGACTGGTCTTGGGGCTCCCCTGCTCCTTGTACTCGCTGTCTCTCCCCCTCCCTCTTCCCCCATTGAATGGCCAGAGGCCTTAGACAAAAAAAATAAAAAATAAAAAAAGATATACAGTGTGTTTTTTCCCCATGGGAATGGTAGTGTAACAAACTTTAGAAATAAGTAATACTATAAGCATAAGTGATGGATGTGGACAACAGGGGGTGAGGATGAGGGCAGGATTGGGGGGAATGAGGGGACATTGGGGGGATGACACATTGGTAATATCTTAATCAATAAAGGGGGAAAAGTAAAAAAAAATAAAAAATAAAAAAGAAATAAGTAATACTGTCAACAATAAAAAAAGAAACATCTACTTTTAAAAAATAAAGCTACTAGTAATAATCTAAAAAAAATTAATGGACAGTTTCTCAGAACCAAAGTACAGAGTCTCGAGACACAGTGAATCTATATATAGCCAGACAAAGACACACACACACACATACACCATAGAGCCCCATCCAGAACATCAGGAATAAGGAGAAGATCCTAAGAGCATCCAGAAAAAACAATAATGGGAACAAATATTATGTCAAATTCTCAAGGATCATAGCAGGAAGTTAGTAGTAGTATCTAAAAATGAAAAATACAGAAATAGCTGTATGTGCATGCTATTTAAATGTCTGCAGAAACAGCTACAAGGACCGAAAGTGGTTGCTCCTTGTGAATGGGGTGGGGCGGGATGCAGCTGGAAACTTCTCTTGTTGGAATAACTTTTTAGAATGATTTTTATTATTTTTTTACTAAGAATAGGTATCAGTTTGATATAAATAAAAATTTTAGAAGCGTAAAAAGTAGATGAGAGACCTTGAAACATGCTTTTCAAGATAGAAACTCATACAGGTCAGACTTGGAAAGGAAGGAGCACAAGTTGGGAGCATGATGGGTAATTATTCTGGGTCTTCTTTCCTGTTCCAAAATTCTGCACATAGCTTCCTCCCAGGGACCACTGATATAGTGAGATTTTTCATGCCCTTATTTGTTATTATAATATACTAGAGGCCCGGTGAACAGATTTGTGCACTGGTGGGGTCCCTCAGCACAGCCTGCAGGAATCGGGCCGAAACCAGCAGTCCAACACTGCCTGCCATTTCTGCCTGCAGCTCCTGCCTGCTGTTCCTGCTCATCCCGGCCCCACTGTGCCTGCCGCCATCGCTTGGTAGGCTCTCTGCCGCTCCGCTGCGACGGCCAGCTGTGAGCCCTGCAGTCTGGCACCAGTAGGTCAGCTGAGCAGCGCTCCTGCTGTGGGAGCACACTGACCACCAGGGGGAAGCTCCTGCATTGAGCGTTTGCCCCCTGGTGGTCAGTGCACGTCATAGCAACCGGTCAAATGGTTGCTTAGGCTTTTATATAGGCTGTCCCAAAATTCACGCAAGATTTGAATTTTGCGTGAGCATTAGCAACAACAACAACAAAAAATAAAAGCCTAATTTTACTTGGTT